ATCGTAAAGTCTGCCTCCAAATCATCAGAAAGTGTGCTCTATTGAAGCTCAATGCAAGCTGCTCGAGACATAATTCTGGAGGAGCAAAAGTGAGAGTTCCCGTCCCAAATACTTTTCGTATGTGGATTTATATATAGAGAGAGTCAGTTTCAACTGGGACATGAACAATCTTCCATGAATATTCGAAATCCATTGAAATATCCAGAAGTCTATATAAATTTGGATGTCTAGCTATTCTGCGGTCACCTAACCAGGACCAGGGTCAACCGTCCGTTCGAACTGTTCGAACGAAGGGGTCGCATTTTGGTCGGAAGGGGGTCGCAATTTCGAGGACTGCCAGCCACAGGCGCGTGCGTGGCGTATCCGAGGGCAAGAATTGTTTGTGCAGACCGCATTAGATTCGATTATTATGCACAGAGAGACAGTTTTAGGCAAATTACGGTGTTTTCCTTGAGGAATAAAGAACAGTTGAATGCATCCCTATGAAAGGTTTGACTTCTCGGGGCTGAAATTAAAGTTCTTCGGGACCTAATTTTCTGAGGACGATTCTTCCAGACAACGGTAAAACACATAAGAAAGCAGAAATCTCGTAGTCTTCAAAAATGTCTTCGCCCCTCCCCAACAAGTTCTTTGAAGGAAGTTATTATTGCTGAAAGCTCAAAAACTCGCATGTGCTTCTCTGACTATTCGAGAACAAATAATGGATGATCATCGCAAGCACCCTGACTACTTCAGTGAATAGCGTACATTTGTCTGAGAATTTTCGCATAAGTCAGCCTTATATTCGATGTCGTCAAGGAGGAAGAGTGTTGGTTGAGTGATGTTGGAGATGACGATTTCGACATCAAACACAGCCGCCTGCGGATGGACGACTTCCACCGCTACTGTAGAAGTGTCCGTGTAGATAATGGGCTGAAAATGTTCAGATACAGTCCCACCAGGGAAATATTCAGGCAAATAGTGAATTTTGTGCTTGCAAGCGAACTCACCTTGGTACATGACCTGGCTTGGCTGTCTTGTGTGCAGACCCTGATGGTAGGCGATCGATCTCCAATCAGCCAATAGCTATAAAGAGGAACTACTTTTACCTTCATGAATGAT